CCTGTGCTTCCGTCCACATTTGGTGCCATCTTTCAACGGTTTGTGTACTGCGCGCTCTGCCTCTTTCAGGCTGCAGGAATGGATCCCGAACCATAGGCGCTGACTCCATGGGTGCTCGGGGCTGGAGCACCCAGGGGAAAAATTTGTGGGTGCCCGGCCCCCCACCCCAGCTCACCTCCACTCCACCTCCTCCCTTGAACACACCATGGCTCCACTTCTCCCCCCTCCCTCCCAGCGCTTCCCACCACGAAACAGCTGTTTTGTGGTGGCGAGCACTGGGAGGGAGGGAGGAAGAGGGGGAAACGTGGCGGGCTCGGGGAAGAGGCAGGGCCGGGGTGGAGATTTGGGGAAGGGGTCCAATAGGGGCAGGGAGGGGGCAGAGTTGGGGTGGGGATTATGGGGAAGAGGTTGGAATGGGGGTGAGGCGCGGGCGGGGTGGAGGCGAGGCAGGGTGGGGGGCAAGCACCCACCAGCGCCTGGAAAAGTTGGCGCCTATGTCCCGAACTGCTGACCAGTAAGCTGCTCGCTCTGACCAACACGTCACGAGTGGCAGTGGAGTTATTCCTTAAACTACAAAGGCAAGAGGAGTGCGACATTGATCTCGCCAGGTGTAGTAGCTATGACACGAGATTGCTTGTGGGATTCACTGAGGTGCTGACCACAGTGGAACGCCACTTTGGGCTCGGGAAAAAGGCACTGAGTGGTGGGATCACATCGTGATGCACATCTGGGATGACGAGCAGTGGCTGCAGCACTTTCGGATGAGCCACATTCATGGCACTGTATGATGAGCTTGCCCCAGCCCTGTGGCGCAAGGATACGAGAATGAGAGCTGCCCTGCCATTGGAGAAGCGCATGGCAATTGCACTGTGGAAGCTGGCTATTCCAGACTGCTACCGATCGGTCACTAACCAGTTTGGAGTGGGAAAGTTGACCGTTGGACTTGTGTTTACAGAAGTGTGAAGGGCCCAGCTTTGATGGCAGCATTGCCGCCAACAGCAGCAGCACAAAAGTAAGGCTAGCAATACCACAACCCCTGCCCCCTGCAATAACCTTGTGACCCCCCCACAACTCCTTTTTTGGTCAGGACCCCTAAAATTACAACACCATGAAATTTCAGATTTAAATAGCTGAAATGATGAATTATATGATTTTTAAAACCCCATGACTGTGAAATTGACCAAAATGGACCGTGAATTTGGTAGGACCCTATTTGTTGCCAGTACTGTGGTATTTAAGGATATAGAGGAATCAGAATGATGAATTTTCAGCCCAGTGCAGGGATTTCAGTATAAGTAGTGTGGGGCTAGTCTAAACTCCAAGTTCTGATGAATAGCCAGAAAAATGTTTTTGGAAACTCCTTCCCCTCCACCATTGAGCAAATTTCTGTTCACAATAGAATATTTCGAATCTTAGAGTAAAATGTAATCACCACCAAAGATGATGAAAAATTGGTTAAACCAATAGATTAATTGCAATCAATATCCACAGTTCCTGTGTAATATGTATCCTTATACTATAATATAAAAGGGCAGAACAGATTTTGCCATAAAAATATATTATCTAAAGTAAGAGAGGAGCAAGAGAGAACCCATCTTTTTTGTAGTTTATTCACTTCTATAGGAATACTTAGTATGAGTAAGAGTTACAGGATAGGGTCTTGTTAATTTAAAGATGAAACAAAATGTCTAAGAGCCAAAATGTCATAAGTTGCAACAAAGTGGGAAACTCCACTATCTATGGAAGCTGCATAAATTTCAAACCCCGTAGACAGATTCAATGGCTGTGCCTGCTGTTGCAGGAGCCTATTGCTGAAAGCAGGTGTCTGCTATAGAATTCTGTTGGGCAGGGATAGTCCATAGGTGGACTATGGGCCAAATTGGGACCACCAGACGCTTTTGTACGGACTATCAAATCTTTTTATTTACTTAATAATAAATAATGATAATATTATTTATTTTGTTATTGTTGTTTTTATTATTATTTGCTCTGGAGTCTGGACCTTGACTATACCTTGACCAAGAAATTTGGACCTTGACAAAAAATAATTAACTACCCCTGCTGCAGGGCTATGTGTGGCATTTCAATAATACAACACAATTACTCTTACATTTTTGTGTCTTTCTAATTTATATATTTGTTTTCAGTATTGGGTCTGATCATGCACAATCTCTGTTCGCAGTGGTTGTGCAGATTGGTCTTTTTATAGGAATCACCACTCTTGGACTTATTCTGGCTGTTGCATAAGAAAATATTGGGCAGAGCCCATCTATTTTGGGAGGGGTGGTTGAGTGTTTATCTAGCAAAGCAGTTTCACACTAGTTTCTCTTCCTCTCACTCAAGTACATCACCTCCACCAAATATCTTATCTGGTCCCACCCATCCAAGAATTCCAACATTCAAGGCATGCCAGCATTCCTTGAAACACAATCCCTCCAGTGATAACTTGTTGCAATGCTATTTGTTTATTACAGCTACTGCAAATTCTTTCATGTCTAATTGTGTAATTTGATCAAAATAAATCATGATTTGGCTGGATTTGTTCCTTTCATTTGTTCCTTGCAAACATCTGGAAGATAAGGTGATAAGTAACAGCATGGATTTGTCAAGAACAAATCGTGTCAAACCAACCTGACTGCTTTCTTTGACAGCATAACAAGCCTTGTGGATGGGGGGAAGCAGTAGACATGGTATATCTTGACTTTAGTAAAGCTTTTGATAGTGTCTCATGTGACCTCCTCGTAAACAAACTAGGGAAATGCAACCTAGATGGAGCTACTATAAAGTAGGTGCAAAACTGGTTGGAAAACTGTTCCCAGAGAGTTATCAGTGGTTCACAGTCATGCTGGAAAGGCATAATGAGTGGGGTCCTGTAGGGATCAGTTGTGGGTCTGGTTCCGTTCAATATTTTCATCAGTGATGTAGATAATGGCATAGAGAGTACACTTATAAAGTTTGTGGACGATACCAAGCTGGGAGGGGTTGCAAGTGCTTTGGAGGATAGGATTAAAATTCAAAATGATCTGGACAAACTGGAGAAATGGCCTAAAGTAAATAGGATGAAATTCAATAGGGACAAATGCAAAGTACTCCACTTAGGAAGGAACAATCAGTTGCACACATACAAAATGGGAAATGACTGCTTAGGAAGGAGTACTGCGGAAAGGGATCTGGGGGTCATAGTGGACCACAAGCTAAATATGAGTCAACAGTGTAACACTGTTGCTAAAAAAATGAACATAATTCTGGGATGTATTAGAAGGAGTGTTGTAAGCAAGACATGAAGGTAATTCTTCCACTCTACTCCACACTGACTAGGTCTCAACTGGAGTATTGTGTCCAGTTCTGGGCACCACATTTCCGGAAAGATGTGGACAAATTGGAGAAAGTCCAGAGAAGAGCCACAAAAATGATCTAGAAAGGTCTAGAAAACATGACCTATGAGGGAAGATTGGAAAAAAAAAATTGGGTTTGTTTCTTCTAGAAAAGAGAAGACGGAGGGGACATGATAACAGTTTTCAAGTACATAAAAGGTTGTTACAAAGAGGAGGGAGAAGAATTGTTCTTGTTAACCTCTGAGAATAGGACAAGAAGCAATGGTCTTAAATTGCAGCAAGGGAGGTGTAGGTTGGACATTAGGAAAAAGTTCCTGTCAGGGTGGTTAAGCACTGGAATAAATTGCCTAGGGAGCTTGTGGAATCTCCATCATTGTAATTTTTTAAGAGCAGGTTGGACAAACACATGTCAGGGATGGTCTAGATAATACTTAGTCCCGCCATGAGTGCAGGGGACTGGACTAGATGACCTTTCAAGGTCCCTTCCAGTCCTATGATTCAAAGCCATGGTGCTAATTGCTCAGGCTTCCATTATCTTTTAGGCACTTTCAGATGTGTGTTGCTCAGTTTGTCCTATTATTTTACTAGGGAATTAAGTTAGATTCAGGACAAATAACTAGGTGGCTTGAAGTTTGGCTTTACAATGTATGAGGTTTCCCCGGTTCTCTCTACCTTTTAAAAATTAATTGCCAGTAGTTCAGAAAATTCATTAACAAATACCCTTAAAGCCCTGGGATAAAATCTGGCACTATTGATTGTTTATATTTTTTCCAAAGTATTCTAGTACCTATTTTTAATATTTTTTACAGCATCTAATCCAATGCTTATTGAAGTCAATGGCAATGGATGTTGGATTGGGTCCATACTGAGAAGGGACCAAATTGTGCTTGCATTGCCCACCGAAGTAATCTCATGAAGTCAAAGAGTTTTACTTACATGAGAAAAGTGAGCAGAATTTGGCCCAAGGTCTCAATCCCATTCTAATTGTCCGAACCCCTCTTGATTTTTATTTGCAGTAAATTTGGTGGCTGTTTTTTTTTAAATCCCAAACTTCAGTGTCTCAGCTATTAACAACTGTTATTTTTAACTAATAATTTCCTCTGCCTCCTTCCTCATTACCCCCCCACCCCATAATAGACGTAAATATCTTCCTTATCCCCTTAATTCTTTGGATTCTTAACTTTGATTGTTATCTAGTCTTTCTTTATTGCCTTCCACCAGAGGATCTCAAAGCACTTTACAGACACTAATTAACTGTGACATAAGGATTTCTCTGTATTTCAACAGACCCGGAAATTGAAGCCCAGAGAAGTCGTGACTTGCCCAAAGTCACAGAACAAGTTTGTGGTAGAGTCTGAAGGAAACATAGTGCTTCTTGTCAGACCCTCTTTCCGCTTGCTCGAGCTACTTTATTTGCCACCCTTATGTTTTACTGCTAGTGTTTGGAAAAACCTGCCAGTGAGGCTGTGAACTGGATTGTTCGGCAACTCCAAGCCACGCCCCCAGCCGCCCGTGATTGCTTCTCCCTGTCGGAGCAGAGCTGTGGGTGTAACTCAGGACAAAGCTACAGCAGTTCAGAGGAGTGAGGAGAAGCAGCCGGTCACATTCCAGTGACTTGGTGTTTTCACTCCTGTTGGTTTACCTCAGGGTTTGGGAAGGTCTCCCATGTTCCGTGCTGTGCTGCTTAGCCGGGTGTCACCCCGAATGTTCCCACTTCTGGCTGCTGTGCTATTCCAGAGGAAAAAGAGGAAGAATACCGGGCTCTCTCACTGGCAGGTAATGTAAACTTTTGCCCTTTGTGTCATCACCCACATGATAAAGAAGCAACTAAAAGTTATGACACATGCATAAAAGCAGCCCTAGAACAGGGTGAGCACAGCCTTTGTCACGTGTGGGAGAAGCTACCTAACGCTGAGTTTGGATAGCGAAGGTGATGATAGTGACTGGGCTTAGCTGCTCATTCCTAGACTCTGGGCTTCGTAGGTCGGAGTCTGTTTGGCAATGTATGGTGAAATTTTAAAAAGTGCTCTGTGTGGCCTTAAGTCAGCTCCCATTGAAGTCAGGGGTGGTGAAACTCCCATTGACTTCAGTGGGAGCAAAGTTAAGGAAATGCTTTTGCAAATCTCATCTATAGTCTATTTTGTCTATAAAGAAGCAGAGCAATTCTGTGCATTTCCTTTTCTTCGCTCCACAGGCTAACGGGAGTTTACAGTCTGAATCCAATAAAGTATGGCAAGGATTTAGCCCAGACTAAGCCCTTGTCTAAACTACCAATACAACCATGTCCGGTAACTTGGTAATTAGTTGTTCCTTACCTTGCAAGCAGAGTTCCAATATGTAGTGCAGAGTGGCTGTTAACCTTGTTTTACAGTCAGGCTAAAGCTCCTGTTAAGATCCAGTCTGCATGACATATTAGAATCATACTTGCTTTGTAACCAAGTTAGGGGGTAGCCCACTTTTAACCAGGTTCCTTCATGTGGTTATATTTGTAGTGTAGATGAGGCCTGATGGAGGAGGCAAATAGTAAAAGTTACAGAAAAAATCATGAGATGTTTGCTATGTGCATGTCATTGTTGGTTCCTGCTTGATTTATGTAAATCTATGATTTTGTTCATTTTAAATTTGTTTTTTAATTTGTTATATTTAATACAGGGTTGGGAAGAGCAAAGTCAGGCAAGAGGGCAGAATTGTTACTGAACATCAGTGCTTTGCGGTCTAACCAGGGATTCATCAGGAGTGTGAAGCTGTCATTTTTGGAGACTTGCTAGTTTGAAATTTTAGCCAATACCTGCCACATTAACTATTTACAGGCAAAATGTTGCTGTTGAGAATTAGAGGTGCACAGATGCTGTCCCTTTGGTTTATTCAGATTCAAACCCACCGAGTTTCACTTAGCGGTTTCAGGCTCATCCAAACTCAGATAGCAAACCTGGCAATTTTCTGTGCTTGTTATGCTTAGCAATTCATTGAGCCAGAAGACCTGTCGTGGACCCGTCCATTGTGTTTTGTGATGAAACTCATTCCCTCCAAAAATGTGCTTATCCAGAGGCAGATTGAAAAGATGTAAGATTTGCAGGATCTGAAATTGCCTCAAACAAAAGTGATGATTTAATCTTTAGGTTTGAATCCAAAAGAAGCAGAGTTAAGGTTGGTATGTGCTTTGAAAATTGATTTTTTTATTCAGCACTAGTGAGTATCATTTTAGGGTGAAAATTGTTCAAGGGCCTACAAAAGGCTACCCCACTGTGTGTGTGAAGGGGGGGTCTCTGCATTCAGGGCCGGCTCTGGCTTTTTTGCCGCCCCAGGCAAAAAAGCCTCCCGCCGGGGAGCGCGGCAGGGGAGGGCGCCGAGCCCGGCTGGGGCCCCGCTCTCCCTGGCCGGCCGGAGTGCCTAGGGTTACCATACGTCTGGTTTTTCCCGGACATGTCCGGCTTTTTGGTAATCAAACCCCCGTCCGGGGGGAATTGCCAAAAAGCTGAACATGTCCGGGAAAATACCAGCCGGGCACTTCCCCTCCCGCGGCTGCTCTGCTCCTCCCCAGACTCTTCGGCTCTGTTTAAGAGCCGAGCTGCCCGAGCGCTCCGGCTTCGGGCAGCTTGGCTCTTAAACAGAGCCGAAGAGT